TGCTGATGATAGCTGGATGTTTTTAGGGCCATAAGATCATGTGTACTAATCTCAAATTTAATTTTAATTTTATTAATTGGTGAAATCAGAAATCAGTTAGGAAAAAATAGTTAAATAAAACCCAAGGCTAATGATGCTGCAGGGAAACATACATGTATCGCCCATGCCATTGAAATAGATGAAGTGGTTGGGATAGCAAACTGGCATCATGTATTAAGAGACCTAAAATGTTCGTGCCTTTTAATCCAGTAATCTCACTTCTCAAAATAACTTCCAAGAAAGCAATTTAGAAAAGAATAATTAAATCTGAGCTCAGGGTTATGGTTGATAATACAGAATTCTCCTTGTTCTATGAACGAAAAACAAAAACAATAGAATTCCCCCCAAAAACCATGCAAGTTCATTTGGAAAAAGTAATCTTTTCCTGATAGTAACAAACAAAACCCTTCTCTTTTTTGGGTTTGTAGATTGTTTTCTGACTTTTCTTCTTCTTTCTTTTTTTTCCTCTTCCCTCTTAAATGTAGGTAGCCTCCAAAGACCTGCCTTTCATCCACATTTCTCTTCTCATGGTTGACTACTTTAATTGATCTCATGGTGTCTATTGTTTGTATGTAGATATCTCTGAAATCTAACATTTCAACCCTATTCTCTTTCCAGAGCTCCATTTGTGATATATGTTCAACTCCGTTTGTGATGTATATTCAATTGTGAATGTGTGCAATTCTGTGTATCCAAAAAAACCATCTTATTTATTTTCTCTCCTACTGATCATTTTTTCTGTGGTCTATATTCTTCTTATCAGTCCATCTTGAAATCTTTAGCTTCAGATTCTCCCTTTCTTCCTCTGCCTTCAGAACCCTCAGCTGTAGACCTGTAGTATTTTTCTGGTGTGTCTTCATCATCTCCATGAGGTTACCCTAGCTCAGGCTTCCTTTTTTTTAGAGGATGTTTGTGATAGATCCTTAATTGTTCTGCCTGCACTTTCTCTCCTCTCTAATGAATCTTGTCAGAGAAGTCTTTCTGAAGCACAGATCAGACCATATCACTTTCTAGATTAAAAACCTTCAAAGACTTCTTATGAATAAAGAGATTCGTGAACTCCATCTAGTCTTCAGGGTCTTCCACTATATGGCTTGAACTTACTTTTCTATTTTTATTTCCCCCCCTTAAATCCATTTTCCTCTCATCTTCTTCATACTTCCTTCTGAGCTTTTCATAATTATTTGGCCTCTATCTGACATTGTCCCTATTTTCACATTTCTGGATCTCATCCATGCTTCAAGAGTTGGCTTTCAGATTTGCCTTCCAGCTGGGAATAATCTTTTCTTCCTGGGAAGTCCCAAAGCCTTTTTCTGTTTCTTTGTTATTGTGGTTAGTATGCTTTCCATTGTACTGTGGTTCTTTATGTGCATGTTACTGGTAGTTGTTAAGTTCTTTAAAGTCTGGATTTATGTCTTATCTGTTTCCTGTGTACACTATATGGTACGTAGTTCTCAATGAATATTTATTAAGTAAATATCTAAAGAGCTATCTTGTTTGGGGGGCCTTTTGGGGGGAACAAAATTTTGAGGATTCTTTATTAATATACCAAAGGCAGAAAAGATTACATGTTCCATAAGGACCTACAGAAGTATATTTAAAAGTAATTTTGTTAAAAAAGAAATACAAGAACTTAGATATATAGATGAGACCTTGGATCACTGATTCAAACAATTTTCAAACAGATGAAAGCTAGTTTTTACAGCCACGTAGAATAGAATATAGACTTATCAGAATGTTCAGTCGTTGAACTAGTTACTTATACAAGTCTTGGCAAACAGAAACATTTTGTTTTTCTTTAGTATTTCTATAATACGCGGTTCACATTTTATAAACTCCTAATTTACTTCTTGATGCTGTTGAAATTATTTTTAGGAAATTATTGATTCTTAAGTAGTTCTGTTTCCCTTCTTGCATATATATTTTTTAAAATTTTTATTGTTTGTTTGTTTTTTTTGCAGGTATCCTGGTCAGATATAGGAGGACTGGGAAGTATCAAACTGAAGCTGAAACAGGCTGTGGAATGGCCCTTGAAACATCCCGAGTCTTTCACCCAAATGGGTATTCAGCCACCTAAAGGAGTTCTTTTGTATGGGCCTCCTGGATGCTCTAAAACAATGATTGCAAAGGCTTTGGCCAATGAGAGTGGGCTGAATTTCCTAGCTGTAAAGGTAGGGTGTTAAATTTTTTAACTGCTCCTCTGTCTTCTAGGCACCCCCGTCCAATCCTCTGATTCCTACCCTTAGGAGAGCATAAAAGGCCATCTTAAGGAGTAGTTGATTTTTATTTGAGATTGATAGCAATATAATATAGGGAGATGGGAGATAAATTAGTGCCTATGGGCTTCCCTGGTGGCGCAGTGGTTGAGAGTCCGCCTGCCGATGCAGGGGACACGGGTTCGTGACCCGGTCCGGGAAGGTCCCACATGCCGCGGAGCGGCTGGGCCCGTGAGCCATGGCCGCTGAGCCTGCACGTCCGGAGCTTGTGCTCCGCAATGGGAGAAGCCACAACAGTCAAAGGCCCGTGTACCGCAAAAAAAAAAATAAAAATTAGTGCCTATAATCAGCAAATCATGGTTTAGTTTCTTGATTCTCAATATTTCTTACACACATGTGTAATAGAAACCAGTTTTCTTTAGTTTCTACATTTTTAAATTGTACTAATCACTTTTGTTTAACCAAGACTTAATTATAAATTTGATTGAATTTAATAAATTTAATATTTACAAACATAATATTTTAAAAGAAATCAAATACCTTATATGGTACAAATCATTTTTTTAAAATATTCATTATTTATTTGGCTGCATCAGTTCTCAGTTGCAGCACACGGGCTCTTTGTTGCAGCACGTGGACTTCTCTAGTTGTGGCACACGGGCTCCAGAGCACATGGGCTCAGTAGTTGTGTCATGTGGGCTCTCTAGTTGCGGCACATGGGCTGTAGAGAGCACGGGCTTAGTTGCCCTGCGGCATGTGGGATCTTATTTCCCCAACTAGGGATCAAACCTGTGTCCCCTGCATTGGAAGGTGGATTCTTAACCACTGGACCACCTGGGAAGTCCCTGAAAATGAATCTTTTAAAAACACTTTCCCAGTCAGAAGATATATATACATTATTTATATTCTGAAACACACATGCATATTTTATTTGTTTACTGCCCTGCCCTATTACTTGGGATAGATTATCTCACCTGATATGTAGTTTTGCATTTACTATAGGACTAGATATTAATTTTGTTATTAACTTCTGTGTAACATGATAATATATCCATTTACTAAATATATATATATTTTTTAGTATATATGTATATGTATATATAAAACCTTAAATCCATTTCTGTAGACTTTATCACAAAAATACATATTTAAATATGTTAACTATCAAAGTCATTTCAGAAAAGGTACATGATAATTTAATTTGATGTTGTCAGGGAATTTTTTTTGTAATAAAGTATGTTTTTTTAATCTTAAAACATTGAAATCATTGACAGGTTGAACGTATAAAACCTATTTCAGAGTGTCAGTCTTTTACTTTACTGTTGACCCTTGAACAACGTGAGTTTGAACTGTGTGGTTCTACTTATACGTGGATTTTTTTTCTGTAGTAAAACTATAGTATTACATTATCCGAGGTGGGTTGAATCCGCGTATATGGGGAAACTGTGTAAATGGAGGGCCAACTATAAGTTACACTACGTTATACTTAGATCTCTGACTGCATGGAGGGTCAGAGCTCTTCACCCCCGCATTTTTCAAGAATTAGCTATACTTAAATTTTTTGTGGAATGATATTTAGATGTATTTAGGCTATTTGCTTTTTAAGAATCAGTATCTTCACAATCACTAATGTTTGCGTGTTTTTTATTATCTTGTAGAAGACATTGGATAGGAATTTGGGGAGGGGACCATTTTCACTATGATTAGTTATGCTGAATCATGACCATAGTTTTAAAGGTTGCAGTTTTAAATGTTGGAGTAATGAGTGATTTTGAAATTTCAGAGACATCTTGATTTCTCTTTGGTCCTTGTCCTCTTGTATTGTGGTAGTGGAAATGGTCATTTTACTGGCATTTCCTACTCTTTTTCTTCTGTCATCTCCATTTTTCTGTGCCTACCTTCCACAGTGTATATTCATAATTGAATTTTTCCTGTCTACTGGAAATCTAAAACTTATTTAATGAGGATTTAGCTCGCAGTTATTTACACTTGAATGTCAAGGAAGAAAGAGCACATATATTTCCTTACAAATTAGTATCTCACTCTTTTGTGATCCAAGATAACAGTTCCAGGTGCTACCAGGACTGCTTTCTGGCCTATCCTAGGATTACTTAGAAATATATTTATTACTGCTTTTGCCTATGAAACCTTTCATAACTTTACAGTTTCACTTTTGTCTTTTTTCATGATGAGAAAATGAGGAAGACTCTTTTTTCATGTAAGATAACCAACTATGTGTTAACTTATATGCACCTTTCATTAACTATTTAATTCTTTTAGGTCACACACAAAAGATAAGTGATGTTAAGAAGTTTCTTAATAAATTGAGTTTGTGCTTGCTTAGGGATTATTACATATCCTACTTACTAATTTTTATTTAATGTAGACTTTTATTCATTTTACAATTTTGTGTACTTTGACAGTATTATTCAATTTTTGAATCTGGGTGGAGGATATATTAAGTGAACAATGGGTGTTCATTTACTATTCTTTCAACTTTTCCTATGTGTTTAAAAATTACAAAAGAAAAAGTTGGGAACACAAAAAGTATTTGCTTTTTATGCATTTTCATTGGTCCTTTCATCTTGGTCTGATTAATGCTTATGAGAAGAGTTAAAATAGCTATATCATACCATTTATGTATGAGGATATGAAGTCAAAGAAGTTAGGAATTCATATTGTATTCTTTCAAGTTTTATTTTCCTACGAAGAAAAAGTTGTCTTTTGTTTCCAACATAGATAATTGTTTTCTGTAGGATTTAAGTGTTATAATTAAGTTTGAACTTTTTGAAATAACAAATCTCACACATTTTGAAAGTGATCAGAAAAAAATAGGTAGACTCTGGTTTTGAGAAACACAAGTGTTCTGGATGTATTGAAAGAATAAACTCCGTAACACTTTTTGCAATGGTGATTACCTTTAATTCTGAAGGTAAAGAATTTTAAAAGTTTAAACATTTCTTTCTCTGAGTTTATGAAGGAACCCTTTATTCCCCTGTGCATCTTTTCTAAACAGTGATTACAAGATTTATATTCTACTCAGAGCTAAGACTTCACCTTGGCTTGTGTGGGCTCTTAATAGCTTTTGGCATCTGTGTGTGTTTTTGTGCAGACTGTAGCACTTGACATACGCTTAAGTTTAGTTTGTCATCTGGGTCAATTACGTCAAAATATTTTCCAGTTGAAATTTCCTCTCTGCTTCTCGCTTGCTTTTTGTCTGGAGTGCTACAATAGATTAATTACCCTTGAATGGCTGGGCTGCTTTACTTTATGAAGAACTGTTACTGATTCTGGAAGAAGGGTGATTAGGCCTCTGACAGGGATTTTCAGCAAGTCCTTTATTAGCTGTATTGGTGAGTACAAGAATGTAATGAACTTAGTATATCCTTAACTTTTGGGGGAAACTTTTTCTGACACTTGTCTCAGAGAGGAATTGTGAAAAATACATCCCATTTTCAGGAAAAACCTGTATTTTACTGAAAGCAGTGCACAATTCAAAGTAATTACTATTGTTTGTTTAACTAAATCCCCTACTATTCTATTACCAAAGGTACAAGATAATTTGAACTTTGTAGGTTCCAAGTTCATCTTTAAACTTAAAAAAAAAATTATGTAGGCTAGTCTATAAATCATAGAGCTTTCATTTTGCAGATATTGCTTGGAAAACTGCATAGATACCTCTTTTACATACTGAATGCTTTAAGATTAGTTTCTAGGATTACAAATAAGGATAGTGATGTTTAAGAAGGTGAAGTGACTTTTCCAAGTCAAAGTGGTGGTAATGGAACTGAAATTTGATCTCAGGACTTTCTGACTCCAGAGTCTAAGCACTAAACCCCACTGTATTATACAGTCTTCCATTTTCCTTTTTTTTTTTTTTTTTAAATAAAACTAGTGCCCAGTGCTTTTTTTCATTAATTACACCAAATTACTTGAGAAGGTAGTTCAGGCAGTTTCTATGGGGCAGGTTCAGAGATGTGGAAAGATGTTTCTGGGACCTAGTTTAAAAAATAATTTTGTTTCTCTCAAAGAAAACTGAGGAAAATAGCATGGCTTTGGAGTGGAAGTTGATTGAGTTAATAAGAAAGGGTAAACACTGCCAAAGAAACAGGAAACTGATGAACTAAATGGAAGTGTAGGGAAAA